AAGTTGCGTCTACCGCCAAAGTTTGTGAATCTTATATTGAAAAATTGAAGGATTGGGACAATAAAAACCATCAGATTCTTACTTGGTTGCGCAATACTTCCGCTCCGGCGATACATGTGCAGTTTGCCCCATTTCAAACTTCTAAGGCAGCGCGGGATTTGTTGGTAGTCCGCTTCCGTGCTACTGTTTTGGCGCACTATTATCAGCCATGGAGTACTCTCCGTGATCTAAAACAAGTATCAAGACAATCTTCAACGATTTCCTTGTGCAAATGCAACCCCTTTGGCATCGGTTGGATAAAGCTGAGATCAGTCCTGATCATCTTCGCCTCATTTAGGTCTTGATGGCTTTGCGTCCAGAGTATGAGGTAGTTCGTGCATCTTTGTTACAATTGAACCCATTTCCTACCTTGGATGCAGCTATTCAGGAGATTTTTTTTGAGAAAACTCGTCTCTACCTAGCCAAGGCTTCTTTGCTTGATTCTGCTCTTGTGGTCACCGCCTGAAGTCCTACTCAGAGTCGTCCCCTCTGCTGCAAATGATGTCAGTCTTCTGATCATGACTTCGGTCACTGCCCCAAGGTGGAGTGCCATTACTGTTATGTTTTAGGCCATACTATACTATATTGCCCTACTAGGCCATCTCGCTCTGGCAGCAGTACTTCCAAGCCTCAGAATGTTCGTGGACCTCCTCAGTCTAGTACCTCCATTGTCACAGCCTCTGCCACGCCTGCGCCTGCGCCTCCTACAATTCAGGACTTGGAGGCTCTTCTTAAACAGGTTCTATCTTCCAATACCACCATGTCTACCACATCAGGTAACTCTCCTTGGTATTTTGATTCTACCAGCAGTAATCATATGACCTATGATATACGCCTTATGACCTCTACATCCACCTCACCATCCCTACCCCCTATCTTTACCGTAAATGGTACCCATATGCGCATTACCCATACTAGACAAACATCCACCTCGTCCTTATACCTCCCTGACACATATTGTATTCTCAATTAACCTTAAATTTGATTTCAGTTGGTCAATTAGTTGATCAAGGTCTCACAGTGATCTTCTCTTCTACTGGTGTGCAGGTTCAGGATGCAAGCCGGGCGGACCCTCGGGAAGGGCTGGAAGGCGGGCCACTTATTTGAACTTGAGTCACTTCAGCTTCCTTGTCCTCTATCTCGACTGCCACCACCTCCACACCATCCCGCCTTCTCAGTCATGCGTCCTCCAATAAACTCAGGTCTTTAATTAGTCAGGGTCTTTTGGGTTCTGTTAGGTTTAAGTCTTTTAGTTGTGTGGATTTTTCGTTGGGAAAACAACATGCCTTGTCATTTCCTCATAGTACTTGCGTTGTGGATACACTGTTTTCATTAGTTCACTCTAATATTTGGGGACCTTCAGCCGCTGTTTCTATAAATGGTTCTCGTTATTTTGTGCTTTTTATTAGTGACTATTCTCGCTTTACATGGATTTACTTCATGCGGCAGCGTTCTAAACTTCCATTTATTTATATGAACTTTGCTAAAGTGATACATACCCAATTTTTCTCCACCATAAAAACTCTCCACACTGATAATGCTCTTGAGTATACCGATTCTTCCTTTCTTTGTTTCCTATTTGATCAGGGTATTGTTGTCAAACGCTCCTGCCCATACACCTCTCCACAAAACGGTCGCACCAAACGTAAACACCGTCATATCCTCGATACAGTCCGCACCCTTCTCTTATCTGCCTCTTGTCTGGATTGCTTTTGGGGGGAAACCGCACTCACTTCTGTCCACACTATAAATCGTGTTCCTTCCTCTGTCATGGGTGATGTCAGTCCATTTGAAAGACTATTTAATCGAGCCCCTGATTATAGTCTTCTCCGCCCTTTCGGTTGTGTCAATTTTGTCCTCTTCCATCCTCATGATTGCACTAAGTTTGAACCTCGCGCGCGTCTGTGTTGTTTCCTGGGATACGGGTTAGAGCATAAAAGTTATCGTTGTTGGGATCCCATTTACAATAGTCTACGTATTTCTCGTCATGTCACTTTATGGGAGAACACTAAGTTATCTACCTTGTCCCACTTTCGAGTCCCCTTTGATCGTTCGTCTCCGTTCTTTACCTTGTCCTATCCACCTTTATTTTCTTCCAATGATGCGGCCCCGTGCCTTGCTCTTAACGCTGTCCCAGTTGTGTCTCCTGAACCGACGCTGATCCCCGATCCTACTACTACTCTCGACTCTGATGCATCACCATTACCAGAGTCTGACACTACTTTGACCTCAAACCCTGATCCTAGCCCTCGCCGTTCCACTCGGGTTAGTCACCTACCTACTCACTTACTCAATTATCACTGCTTCTTTGTCACTTTGTCCCACCATGAGCCCAGGTCCTTTCGTGAGGCGTATGCGGATCCGTTGTGGCGGCAGGCTATGTCTGAGGAGTTGCAGGCTTTAGAGAAAACCCATACGTGGGATATGGTTGATCTTCCCTCTGGCAAGAAACCTATCGGCTGTAAATGGGTATTCTGAATCAAAACTCACTCTGATAGATCCATCGAGCTCTACAAGGCGCATTTGGTAGCCAAAGGCTACACCCAGAAGTATGGTATAGACTATGAGGAGACATTTGCCTTGGTTGCTCATCTCACCTCCGTCCGTTGTCTTATCGCTATCGCTGCCGCTCGTCGGTGGCCCCTACATCAACTCGATGTCAAGAATGTGTTCTTGCATGATGATCTATCCGAGGGCATCTATATGTCTCCTCCTCCTGGCTTTCCTACGTCTCCAAGGTATGTAAACTTCGTCGTGCCCTGTATGGTTAGAAACATGCACCTCGAGCTTGGTTTTCAAAATTTAGCTCTACTCTGCTATGCTCCAACTCGACTTTACTTCCAGCGATCATGATTTGGCTCTCTTCCTTCGTCATGGATCCGCTGGAATTATTGTTATGCTACTTTACGTGGATGACATGATCATTAAGGGAAATGATACATCCGGTATCTCTGAGCTACAGACTCATCTACACCGCCACTTTGAGATGAAGAGCTTAGGGCCTCTTCGGTACTTCCTAGGTCTTGAGATCTCCGACACCTCTGACGGATATTATCTGTCTCAAGCCAAGTATGCCTCCGAGCTTCTGTCTAGTGTCGGTCTCACTTACTCCAAGACTGCTCCTACGCCTCTAGATTCTGACTGTCATCTTACTCCGATGGACGGCGTCCCCCTCGATGATCCTACTCTGTATTTTCAGCTGGTGGGAAGTCTGATCTACCTGACTGTCACTCGACCTGATATTGTCTATGCCGTCCATATCGTCAGTCAATTTATGTTTACTCCTCAGACGACTCATCATTCTACTGTTCTACGGATTCTCCGGTACATCAAAGGTACTCTCCTCCATGGGTTTCATTATTCATCCCGTTCCTCCTTAGTTTTGACCGGGTATTATGACTCTGATTGGGTGGGAGATCCCTCCGATTGCCGCTCGACCACCGGGTTTTGCTTCTTCCTTGGCGACTCGCTTATTTCTTGGCACAACAAGAAACAAATGGTTGTCTCCCGGTCCAGTGCAGAGTCGGAATATAGAGCACTTACAGACACCACTGCCGAGCTTCTATGGCTTCGCTGGCTGCTGGCTGATCTCAGTGTGCCTTAGTCCTCTGCCACTATTATTCATTGTGACAGTCAGAGCGCCATGAAGATTTCGACGAATGATGTCTTCCACGAGCGTACGAAGCACATTGATATCGATTGCCACCTTGTACGTCATCACATTACTCATGGTAGCATCTCCTTGTTTTCCATTTCTTCTGCTGATCAGACTGCCGACGGCTTCACCAAGCCTCATCGTCCTGGCCGTTTTCAGTCATTCTTGAGCAAACTCAAGTTGGGTTCCACCATTCCACCTTGAGTTTGAGGGAGGATGTTGATATATATGTTGATATATATTGTATATATTTAGATATATATCCCTAACTAATATATCTCTTATATATATACACTACAAAAAAATATCAATTTTTTAACGAGATTTTTTCGTTTTTAAATCCACATTTTCCGTTACTAATGATATTAGAGACGGAATTAGTGATGGAATTACGTTAGCTATGTGAACTTTATGAACGAAATTCCGTTACAAATATGTTATTTTTTTGTAGTGATATAACATTGTACCGTAATTATAATATGAGAAATTCAGTTTATTCCATTAATCGTAACACCTAAAAAGTCAAAAGCAAGTAAGCTAAAGAGTCTTGAATTTAAATACGTTCATTGTTTTTTAGCTTACAATCTTTGGGGTCAAAAAGATACCTCTAATGCTGTGAGTAAAATTGAGTTGTTCTTTTTGTGGTGCATGCCAAATAAAATAAAGATCAACTTTGGCTATTGGCCAGCTAATTCCAAAATTTTATAATAAAACAATAAAAAAAGTTAATTATTTATTTAGATGGAAGCGTTTTTAATTTGTTAATTTGGATTGAGTCTGTGTGACGTTATATTGGAGGCCCAAGTCTGATATGAGCTCGTTGGACGCTCTCAAGTATTGGGTGGGCCATAAAATATAATATTGCATTCATTCGTTCCATAATAATGTCATTTTTTTTTCTATTAAATTTATATATAATTTATTTATATTAAATCAGTTTATTTATTTATAATTTTGTCTTAACAAACAATAATTAATTTTTTTTTCTATTTATTCAATTATTTTTTTAATAAATTTTGTAAAATATATTTACTTTACTCTTTATCTGTCAAATATGTAGTAGTTTTCATATCCGACCGCTCGTAATATAAATAGCTTGGACAAAGAGAGAAATGTATAGCATTGAACCTTACTCAGACTCATTGCTATCCTTCTCTCTATAGATAGATCCACCTAGATACCCATTACCCGTACCCATACCCATACCCGTACCCGTACCCATAATGTACAAATTATTATATTAACAAACGTGTGGTTTGAGCGATTGCCATTTTCTTTTTTTTTCTTTTTTTGAATATGTGTGGTTCGAGTGAGTTCCAAATTAAAGGCTACAGACTGAATCAAAAAAGAAGCAGCAGCAGCGAGCTTGTGTGGAGGGATGTGGTCTTCTTCTTCTTCTTCTTCGTCTTTGTGTTTGTCTTTGTGTGGTGAGTTTTCAGCAGCAGCAACAGAAAGAAGAAGAAGAAAGAGAGATGAAGTGTACGTAGCAGCAATGGCATTGAGAGGCACAAAAGGGCCTTCACAGTGGCTAATGTCTGCAGCTGCTAACTCTCTCAATTTGTGGGATTTCCAACATTTCATGGTCATCCTCAAACATCATTCTTCTCCTCATCTCCACCAGGTGCTACTGCTTCTCTCTATCAATTCAACTCTCATCTGCTTTTCTACTACAATATCATCATCTTTTTATTTCTTCATTTATTTTAATTTTCATTAATTAAGGGAAGATTATTATTATTATTATTATTATTATTATTTTTTTTTCTGCTGACTTTCTGGCGTAATTTGCTGTTTTTATAAATAATAATGCTTTAATTGAAATAATTACATGACTTGATCATATAAGTAGATATTTGATGTCATAAATCCAGTATGTGTCGGATGCCTGCGAATTGGGCCGGTAGGAAGTTAGAGTATATAGTAAGAGTAACAAGGATGACCTAGTGTGGCGTGGGATGCATTTATGACCGTGACGTTATGGGTCCAAATTCCGACGCTTTCGGATCACCTGCCAAAAAAACTCTCATGTATTAAATAGTGGCCAAAATTGTCCATAACTCCCTTTTGGTTTCGAAACTCAGCGTAAATTTTTCTTTTATTTTAAAAATTGCATGACACCCCTTATTATTTAAAAAATATTGTATGAAACCACTTTGTAATTTTAAAGTATAGGGAGATTTTACGCTGAATTTCGAAATCACTTCGACATCACGTGGGAGTTATAAGCAATTTTTCCTAAATAGTGAGACATATATATATATATGTGCAATGATTATACGTACAAAGCATGAAAAAGAGGATACCCAAAACTAGGAAAATTGATCAAAGTGATTGCTTCCAATGCGTGCGACGCCGTCCCACTCTCTCCCCTTACTCTATTTATGTCTTTTGTTCTTTTTTCATTTCAATCTATTTTCTTTTTTGTAGTGTCATTATATAATATTCTTTTATTTTTTAGTGAAAAAGAATGCAATTTTGCTTTTTGTTATTTTTTCTTTTTTTTTTATATAAAAAAAAAAGTATAACCATTACTATTCAATTTTATTAAAATCGGTATCCAACCATTTAAGCACATATTTCAATGCATTTTGGGCCACTTCATTAGATCATTTTTTTTTTTTTTTTTAATCCCCATTCATTGGATTTTGTCTTCTTCCCTATCCTTCAAGATTCTTACATCAAACATCACTCCTTTCTCTCATAATATCTAATTTAAAAAAAAAAAAAAAAAAAAAAACAAAATTATCCATAACTTCCTTCTTGTTTTTAAACTCAATGTAAATTTTTCATCTACTTTAAAAATTGCATGACACCGCCTTATATTTTAAAAAATTACATGACGCTCCCTTATACTTTAAAAATATTGCATGAAACCCCCTCTGCCATCCAAAACATATAGATAGAAAATTATCTTTTTATCAGATGAGGAAAGTTTTATGCTGGTGGAGTTTCATGCATTTTTTTAAATACAAAGAGTACCATGCAATTTTTAAAATATAGAGAGATTTTACGCTGAATTTCGAAACCACAGGGAAGTTATAAACAATTTTATCAATAAATAAATAAATAAAATAATGTATGATACTATTTTCCACAAAAGAAAATCTCATAAGATTATCTCTAATCAGACATCACCGTCCAGTTGAGCTTAATACTGTAGCACTTTCTCAAATGAGAGGGTGTGTTTTTTATTTATTTAGTTTTGTTTTATGTTATTTATAATAAATTTAAAATTTGTTTGTAAATTTAATCTCTGCTCCATTTATTTTATTTTTTTATTATGTAAAATTCATTTATTTTTGTATATTTATATTTAATAGAAGTACTGTTCAATGATAGTAAAATTTTAATTTATTAAATTTTAAAATATTTATTATTTCTTATAATAAAATAATAAATTTAATTAATTGCTACAACTTACATCTTAATTTAAATTCTATTTTTATTATTTTTGTATCGTTCACTCAAAATATCTATTTTACTAAGTAAAAGTAATCATACACTTATGCCAAAATACATTTAATTTTTACCTAAATTACGAACATACCATTAACAAATTATTTTACACATAAAATTAAAAGGACAAAAATATCAAAATCTCTTATATACTTCTACTAACCAATAAACAATTTTGATCTTAATGACTCTGTAATCGAAATTTAGGACCTAATACTTGTAGTTTACAACTAATCGAACACATATGAAACAAGAAACATCGAATCTTTTATATACTTTGTTAATCGAAGGAGTTCGGACTCAGTTTACCCAATATTTCAACCGACTAGCAACACTTACACACAACCTCGACCCAAACACTACCGACATCCACAGAAACGCACAATCAGCGCGATTAACAACCTAATCGAAAGAAATCTCAAGATTCTAAGCCTAAATCATCGCGGACAATCAATTACACCACGAACAGCCCATAAACATATAATCGAGAAATCAAACCGAAGAACAGCTCTAGAACAAGCTGTAACACAACCACGGTGGATGAACTTCAAGTTCCGATGGCCAAACTCGCCGGAATGCACCAGACAGATCGATCGCGTTCGTCGGGAAAGCTAGGGCTCCAGAGGGTGAATATCGCGATAGAAGGAGTGAGGATTAATCTGTCTGTCTGAACCGGGAAGCAGGGTATATATATATCAGACCCCTTGGACCGGTTTGAGGGCGGTCCAGGGCGGTTCAGGCCATCCGAACCCATCCTCCAATTCATCACTCAATCGGGTCGAACCGCGGGCACGGGATCCGGGTTTCGATAGGTCGGGTCGGGTCGAAGTGTAATATGCACAAAACATCACAAATCTCCACCTTTTTGGGCATTGGAGAAAGTGCTTTAAGGGTGTCATCCCTGTCCGAGCTCCAACGATTTAGTCTTTTAACCTGCGGACTTATTAACACGGTTAATGTTCTCAAGTTTTAAAACAACTATAAAAACAACTCAGCTTCACAACTAACAAAAACAGCTACATGATTAAATATGTCATGCTGAAAACAGAATTTTAAACAACAAAAGATACAAACCTTCAAATTTTAAAGATTCTCCTAATCAAAAGTATCTATATAAACTGTTTTCTTACACAAATTGAATTTTGTTATTGATAAAACTTTTGTTCCCATGTCCGCAGGATTATACTCAGAAGGTATTTTTTCTAGTTTTAAAAAACCCTTAGACACTATATCACGAATGAAATGAAACCTAACATCTATATGTTTCGTTCGATCATGAAAGACTGGGTTTTTACAAAGCTGAATTCCGGATTGACTATCTGAAAAAACTGTTACTTCATTTTTCAAGTAGCCTATTTCATTTAATAAACCTTTTAACCACATACCTTCCTTCAATGCTTCAGTTATGGCCACATATTCCGATTCTGTCGTAGAGAGGGCAACAATATGTTGTAGTTGGGATTTCCAACTAACACAAGAACCACACAAAGTAAAGATATACGACGTAGTAGACTTCCTAGAGTCTCTATCATTCGCATAGTTAGAATCCACATAGCCATTCAGTTTTAACTCATTAGTGTGTTTACCAAATACTAGACCAACTTCAATAGTATCAACTAAGTATTTAAACACACACTTTAATGCACTCCAGTGTTCAACACCCGGGTTAGCCATGTATCTACTCAAACAACTAATAGAATATGCTAAATCAGGCCTAGTGCACACCATCAGGTACATAATAGAACCTACAGCACTAGTATAAGGCACATTCAGCATGTATTTCACATCAGTTTCAGATTTTGGGCATTGCTCTTTAGATAAAATGAAATTAGAAGTGAGGGGGACAGCAGAAGGTTTAGCATCAGCCATACAGAATTTATTCAAAATTTTCTTAATGTATGAAGACTGATTTAAAAACAGCATGTTATCTTTTCTTTTCCTAAGTATATTCATACCAAGAATTACCTTTGCATCTCCTAGGTATTTCATATCAAACTTCTTGCTTAAACAATCTTTTACATGATTAATTGTTTCCAAACTAGGACACATAATCAACATATCATCAACATATAATAGCAAGAATATGGGATGCTCACATGCTATTTTAAAATACAAACAATGATCAAAATTGCTTCTATTAAATTTCAAAGATTTCATGCATTCATCAAATTTTATGTTCCATTGCCTAGGGGACTGTTTCAGTCCATAAAGGGATTTCTTTAAAAGACACACATGATTAGGATTAGTTTTATCAAAGAAGCCTTCCGGCTGTTTCATGTAAATCCTTTCATACAAATCACCATGTAAAAATGCAGTTTTTACATCTAATTGTTTCAATTCCCAATTAAAATAGGCAACCAAAGTAAGCATGAGTCTTATAGTAGAATATTTAACAACAGGAGCAAAAATTTCATTGTAATCTATTCCCTCCTTTTGTGTAAACCCCTTAGCAACTAATCTTGCTTTAAATCTAACTCCATTTTCATCTTGTTTTACTTTGTACAGCCATTTACAATCAACAACAGAACTGTTAGCTAACTTTGGCACCAAAATCCAGGTTTTATTCTCCTTTAATGACTTCATTTCTTCATTCATTGCATTAACCCACTCATTTCTTTGTTTTGATTTCATAGCTTCACTATATGACCTTGGTTCATTACTATCTAATGATTCAAACACATTATAAGCTAAGGAGATAACATCAACATCAAAATCATCTAACCTAGGGGGCTGTCTTACATTTCGCCTAACTCTATCCCTAGCAAGTTGATAATTTTCCAGATTTTGATCAATATTTTCAGCAATTCCAGATTCCATTCTCTCATCAACCTCATCAGAACTGATCTCCAGACCAGTCTCTGAATTTCCAGAATTAAAATCTGGATCAGAACTGGTTGTCCTGGTATCAGTTCTATTTGAGGCACTGTGATCAAGTAATTCAGCCTCTAAATTGGCTAAATTATAATGATTTTGCTCCACCTCATTCTGAGTATCATTAGGACCATTAACAGCAGTATTTTCATCATTTAAGGTCTGATTTTGCTTCAAACAGGGCATTTCATTCTCATTAAATGCTACATCTCGACTAACAAAAGTTTTGAAACCTGGTTTAGTGTTTAACCATAGCCTATATCCCTTAACACCCTCGGGATACCCTAGGAACAC